AACGTACTAATTTAACGGTTTTATAACTTAATTTTTATTTTTACTCCGGCTTTCTTTCTTAAAGAATCATTTTCATTTATGAAATAAAACAAATAATATTTATAGTAAATATGAGTAATAAATGATTACAGGGTGTCTCATAAGTTGTGGCAGATTTTTTTAAATCTAATTTTTGATGATAATGAATACAAATTAAACTCAAACTTATACATATGACACGGCTTAGCATGTACTTTTATTTCATATATTTTATTTGGATTAGATCATTGAATATACAAGAAAATAAACAAATTCAATGAACATACCCTCCATTGACAAATATCAAAAGTCTGCTTTTTTTCGCTACTTTGTTAGTTTTTTCTCCAATTACTATTCCTATGGGAGTAAGTTTTTACAAAAGAAATCACACATTCTGATAGCACTTGAAATGCTCTATGATATTATGTATTAATACAGTGTCTTAAATTTAAGTAGCGAAAAAAAATGCAAATTTTTTGGGCTAGTCGATTCGGAGTATATTCATTGTATTCAATTTTATTTCAATCTATAAACGCAAGAAAATAAGTAAATAGACAGGGTGATAGAGAATTTTAAGCTCTATCAGAATCTATAGTTACTTTTTCATACAGATCATTCTATACGGATGAAAAATTTTTAAAACTAGTTTTGATGACGAAGGAAAGATCAAGTCTGGGAATCTGGACATGAGGGTGCCTTCGTTGTCTTCAATTTATTTTGGTAATGAAAAGGTCAAAACTAAAACCTAATTCTACAGAATGATAGAAAACTCCGCGAGCTTTCAGAATATGTAATTAGTTTTAAAATAACTTATTTTTATAGTGACAATATATGAGAAATACAGAGTGAAACTTTTGTCGGGGTATATATATTGTAACACATTGATGGTGTGCTTATTTTGCACATGTACCAATTTCTTTATTTTTTTGTATATCCAATGATTAAATTCAAATAAAATATATGAAATAAAAGTACATGTTAAGTTGTATGATACGTGTAAGCTTGAGTTTGATTTGTATTCATTATCATCAAAAATTAGATTTAAAAAAATCTGCCACAACTTATGAGACACCCTGTATCTTAAGATTCAATGAAAAAGTATCGATCTACGTGTATGTCATATTTGAATTTTATTCTTATGATTGCTGTTACAAATAAAAATCTTATCAATGTATTAACATACTATTTTCTTCTAGATTTTTGAATAAATATTTTCGTACAAAAAATTTTGTATTTTGTCTTTAAAGAAAATCTCATCATCAAGTATCTATAAACATGTATATTTAATATTTCTATTCATAATCCATATATATATCTCATCATCAAAACCATGAAGCAAAAGCTCTCACGAAAAAATATAAAAACAATAGAGAAAATAGACGATCATAACGGCGATCAACCTGATGAATTAATTATAATTACAACACAAACAAATTCTTTATCTATGTCGAATTCTATGAATGATCCAGATTCAAATGCATCAGTATTGAACAATATTAATTCAAATGGAACCAATACGGATATTTCAACTGTAACATCAACACCATTATCACAACAGAATATTGGTGGTCGAAAATTGACTTCTAGAGTCTGGCTATATGCGAAGAAATCAGATGATGGTCAAGAAGCTGCTTGTTTGCTATGTGATTATACATGTTCATGTCGATCACATTCTACATCAACAATTCGACAACACCTTATTATTAAACACAACAAATTAGATTTGATATTAAAATCATCATCAGTTCTTGCAAAATTTAAAATTTCAGAAGGTTTAAAAAATGAACTGCATCAACTATGTTATTATGCAATTATTAAAGATGGTCGTCCATTCAACGACCTGAATAAGATTGGTATTACAGCTTTGATAAATAAACTTTGTCCTGGTAAGATCTTTTTTAAACATAAAATATTTCTTTGATTCTTTTGAGAAGAGTTCTATTTTTTTCGGAGTTGTTCTGTTATTCTAGCCTTTTTTTGTCGAAAAAAACCATGTTATTGAATTACCATGACTTAGGTTTTCACTGAGTAGACGAACAGGTGACTAGACTCCGACGGAAAGTTCAAAATAATTTTCTAGGACCGGTAAAAAAAGTATGTATTATTTCATCATTTTTAATGTTAATACATTATTCAAAGAGGCATCGTATGGAAAAATATTTTCACTTTAAGATTATTAATATAGAAAAACATAATGATACTTCATATACAAAAATATTTTAAATATTAAGGTTTCATCTTTTTTATTCTGATTTTCAAACCGTTCTTTTGTAATTAATAAAATTTTGATCCGAAGTTCATTTTTAGCCCCATGAACGATCTTAAAAAAAGAAATATTGTTCTGTGAGATACATATCTATTAGCATTAAAGATGATAAATAGTCTATTTTTTTGATCAGTTTTAGAAAATTATTTTGAATTTGATGTTCGGATCTATAAATGCTCTTCAGTAAATGATTATTGAAGTATAGTATAACTAGACTCTTTTTTTTTTCAAAATAACTGAATCTAACTTGCCGGGATATTTCTCTCAAAATAAATTCAGCGCTTATTCGAATTTATGGTTTAGCATAAAATAAAAAAGTCAACATTCCAAGAAAACTTTCATGCTCATGAATGATATGTAATGAATGCTTCGAAAATGTTTATCCATAAATATCAATACTTGATCTTTTGTGTAGGGATTCGACATTTATACAATGTCTTTTGTTAAGTTTTCTGACAAACTAGCTAGTTTGCGGCGTACAAAAGGTCACATCTCGAATAAACATATTCAGAAGATAGCACGAGGTTCTATCTTTCCTAAATGACATAACTTTTATTTGACAACTAGTTGTAAAGAAAGAGCGCAATCTTCTACTTAAAAAAATATGCTTTTCTAATATTAACAGGAAAGTCTTTTTTTCAGTCCTTCTCTATTTTTTCATTCTGGTAGAAAAATCCTAAAATCCTCGAATGAGCTTGACTATAGCTTGTATCTTTTGTTAAAAAGACTATCAGGATGCAAGATAGAGGCGTCTCTTTTTACATGAAGCTTTGTCATTATCAAATGAGAATGTTACTTTAATTATGGGCTAACTTTTCCAATAAGTAAAAATATATCAAGTCTTTTTTTTTTCTTAAGGACTAAAATTTGAAAATTGCTTGTTTTATGGTGATATGCTCTTTCAAAGAAAATATGAACTAAATAGAATGAAGAGTGATAAACATTTCGATCTGTCATACAAGCAGTTTTCAGTTCTTGTCGTTGACATTTTTCAAATATACTATGTCAACGATTTGCATTGATGCACGTACCCTACAGGTATACGAGTATGGATTTGTATATATATGTACATAGTTGGTAGCATCTTACCTAATAAAATATTTTTCATGTTGTCTTCAACTAATTATTATCTCACTTTGTTGTATATGCTCAGATATGAAACACTAGTGGTTAAGAAATATACTTGAGTGGCAGAATAACAACTTTGAAGAAAAAGTTTGGAATTTTTTTATTGTCTTTAGATATCATGAGCGAGCAGCACTCTGATATTGCTGTCACTAGATGTTTTCAAATAAAAAGTATCGAAATCAGCCTTGTCATCGATTAAGAAGGCCTGAAACGATTCTAACCTAAGATGCTTCCTGACTGATATACTCATCTTACATGTTTCAAATATTCGATCTTTTCTGTCATAATGTATATTTGTATATTGCATAGGGCTAGAACTTTGCCAGCCTATCTATAACACAGTGTACTCATATTGAAAGTTTCATTCAATTTAAATGCAACTGATTCAGAGTAGATCTATGAAGAATGGGTACCCTAACCAATTTTGCATTCAAAACTTTTGATAATACTATATTTCCTGATATTATTGCACAAATCGCAATATATTGATTCAGCATTAGTCGTTGTTAACTGTTAATAAATATGTATTTCCTTAGACGTCTAAACTAATCGGGCACTCTATGTCGAAAAAACAGATGTCAATACTTTGCTATTATTATTGATTAAAAAATTGTATTATTATCTATTTTATTATGTGATAATTTTTTTTTAGATTATAAACCACCACATAGAAATCAAGTTGTTCGGCATTTAAAAGATTTAAACAAACATCATCATGATCTATTGAAAGAAGAATTAAAAACAGTTTATCGATTGAGCATTACACTCGATTTCTGGTCAAACCGAAAAAATGAATCATTTCTATGTATTACAGGTCATTGGATGAATAATTCTCTTGATTCTATTTCGAAAATCATTGATTTTTCTTGCTTCAATGAACGACATACAGCTATTGAAATTACCAAGGTTTTGAGAGAAAAAATGATTGATTTAGGTGTTTATGACAAAGTTTTTTGTATTACTTGTGATGGTGCTGAAAATTTGGTTTTAGCTTGCGAGTTGTTAAATGAAGATATTTTTAGAATTTGGTGCTATGCTCATAGGCTTCACTTGGTGGTTATTAATGCTTTAGGATTTTGGATGTCTAACAAAAAGAAAAATACTGATGAACCTGGTTATTCATCGGCAAATATTTTGACATTCAATACTACAACATCTAATGTTACTGATCTAGAAATTGAACAAGAAAACATGGATGTTGAATGGGATCTTGAATTAAATGATGGTAAGGTTTTTTCAATGCATATATACGAGTATATATACACATATATTAGTGGTAAGCACATGACTACTTTTTTGTCCTGTCCTGTGCTCATATCTAATATACATTTAATAACAGTGCTTTGCACTGTTACAAATAATAATCGATCTTCTCTTCTCCTATATATCTCTGAAAAGAATGTATTTAATTCATTATCCTATATTTTTTCAGATTCATGGAACATTAATGATGTTGATTTAATTGATGAAACAGATGCGTATGATACTAGTAATGCTACAGCCAATACTGAATTTAGTGAAACGACAGATTTCTATGATGATGAAATTATTAATGAACAAGATATTGTTGAATTGATGAATGATAGCTGGTCAAATGTTATTAAAGATCTTGTCAATTTAACACAACCACAAAAATTAATTCTACAAGTATTAAAAAAATGTCGTGCTATTGCAAAAATTTTGAAGAAATCTTCATTGATATCACGTTTTGTTCGTAAAGAACAAGATTCAACGAAATCAAAAAAAAATATTAGTAATGATTGTCCATCAAGATGGAATTCAACGTTCAATTTAATAGATGCCATTATTGACCTGAAACACGTAATTATCAAATTGTTTACTGATAAGTGGTCATTGAATTTACGAAAAGACCAAGTATCTAAGTTAGCAAAAATCGAATTAACAAGTGAAAATTGGGATTTATTATCAGCATTACATTTTGTTTTAAGACCATTTTTTCTTGCAACTAAAATGATGTCTGGAAAAGAATATGCTACAATTGGCTTATCGTATTATGCTATACATGAAATTAAATGCTTTTGTGCTAAGGAGGATAAATGTTCTGAACAAAGTAAAACTTTTAAAAGATTATTAGCCGACAAATTGACCAAGTACTTTTATTCTAATTCTGAACAAATTCATCATTTGCAAGTAAGTAGTAAACTACAATTTTATGCCTATCCAATAGTATAAAGATTTTAACTAGTACAGCTTTTTAATATCAGCAAGTTATCACTAACGTTTCAACTGTACTTGATTCTCATTAATTCGAACTTTAAAAGTAGAACTAATTCTAATGAGTCTTTCTAAAATTAACTTGTTGTAAATTCTAAATATCAATTGAGTCCATTTAGTAGTGTTGATTGGATATTCTAAGAATAAATTATAGTTATGAATAGAAGCAGTATGTCAGGGGAAACGGAGCTCTGTTATTAAATATTCTAAAACGCTTCAAATTAACTGATTTGATTTTGAACTTTGTTAGCATAGAATCAAGTAGTAAAGTTTGATTCGAATTGGATCAAATCATGAAAAAAGTAAATCTGATGGGGTTGGCTCAAAAAATGACGCATTTCAGACACTATGAAGTAGGAACTGATAGGAATAAGAATATTTCAAAATACGGAGATTTAGATAACTTTTTTCAACAGGAAATTTTAGAATAGAGTACAGAAACTATCGAAACTAGATTGTACCGATCATATTTGAGATTGTTTCTATTCCATTGAACAATTAGAATATGACTCATTGAATTCTTTAAAATATAACATTTGATTTATCTTTTAGTATGATTTAACCAAGACATCTTAGTTAAATTGAGTAATGCATAAAACATAAAACAACATATACTCCTATATCTTTAAAATTATTCACTTATAGGCAAGTAAACACATCTCGCAGCTGCGGTCACAGAGTGAGGCTAAGAATTGACCAGAGATTTTTGTGTTCGAATTAAATTGTTGATAGATAGACGCACTTATTTAAATGAGATTGGGAATTAGTTAATTTTTATAATGCTGAAACCTCGTCTTGGAATTTTTTCTAAAAGGTTGTATCTTTAATCATACTATAGCTTGAATATTTCAGGTTGACTAAACCAAAAGAGCTAAAGTTTATTAAAGAAGCATATATCCATGTATATTGAGAACAAGATGGCTTCCATTTGAATTGTTTGAGTTCTTGCCCTTATGAATTTATTTTATAAAAATCATATTTGGTGAAGTTCATGTGAACGGCCGCAAAGATATAATGCTATGTGTCTGTAAAAAGCTGGCTAAAAGTCTAGCTCTGCAACTATGTAATTAACTTTATTTCGATAAAAGCACCATTTACCATGATCATACTAGACACCAAATTTGCATACGACTCTAGAATCATCCAAGATCTTCTAGCTTCCAGGAGTATCCAGATGTAGGTATGCACTCACAAAGTTGATGCGCTGTATTAATTATCTCTAAAAATGCCAGGTTAATATTGCTCTGAGTTCATTGGTCATATTGACTTTGAAAAGAACTAAAGGTGAATTCCATGAAAAACATATTTTCTTTGTTTTTTCTTATAACGTTTTAATGAGAATCGCAATGTTCGCCAATTTATTTGTAGGTTCGTGATGAAGACAATCTGTTAAGTACCAGTTTTTTTTAGTCATAAACTTCGATATTATTTTTGTAGGAAAAATATTAGACGCTTTTGCTCCTCTCTGCGCATAAGGTTTAATCGATCAATGTTTTGGAAAATTATATATTTCATTTCTATCAGCTCAATACATAGAACAAAGGACTAGTATAGTGCAAAAGGAAGTTATCTTGTATGTAGTATACATAATTAGATGCTTTTAAAAAAAAAGTTAAGCTCTTTTGGCGAAGCCCATTGTAAAATGTTTAGCTATATGGTATAACACTCGATCTCTCAGAAAAAGTATGATAAAAAGAAGAAAGTTCAATGTATTTGAAAATAGTGGGCGCTGATGTATTAACCCCAAGATTTTGTCACATATGCTACACTTAGAAGAAGAAACAAATTAGTTTTTTGAGGCAACACGTTGTTAGAGTCCACACTGTGGATTATACGAGTAAAAACTAAAGAGAATGACTGGTATATTATCTCTGCCAGGTTGAATTCTCAATTATATTTGCAATCCAATATTCCATGTAGAACACTCACTATTTAAAAAAATATGTACTCACGTAACTTTTTATGACTCTTTGTAGAGATTAGCATATTTTGATCCAACATCACATTTGTGTTTAAATGACAAAGAAAAACAACAAATTGAACACTACATAAGAAAACTTATAACAGATGATGTTTATCCATTAGAATCATCATCAAATGATAATTTGACGAGTTCATCAACATTATCAGCACAAATTCAAGTGAAACCATCTATTTTTGACGAATTTATGGCTGCCTGTGGTCAAGAAGAGATTATATTGACAAGTAACATGAAAGAAAAAAGCAAACGGATCAGCATAAATGAAGAATTAAAATACTTCAAACAAGTCGTCCAACAGTTTAATGCAGCAGTACAACCATCAACAAAATCTGCCAAAAACTTTTGGAAAGCACATAAAGATCGCCTACCATTATTAACACACTTGGCCAAAATACATCTATCAGCTTGCGCCACAAGTGTGCCAAGTGAAAGTGCTTTTTCACAATCTGCATTCATTGGTCGCAAAGAAAGAAATCGTATTACTGGCGAACATCTAGCATATTCTGTTTTCTTGAAAGACAAATTATAAATAATTTTAAAAGATGTAGATTGATAGGTATATATACTGCTTCCATGTATATTTTCTTATTATTAGTATGTCTGTGTGCAATTTTTTATAAAAAGAATTATTCATGTATTTAATTGTATATGTAACTGATACATCATTTTCTGTTAGTTTTTTATTTCAGTTATTTCTCAATTTTTAGGACAACAAATTGCTCATTTTTTGTAACTATGAATAGATCAAATGAAGAAATTCTATAATGATTATGTTCAATGGTATCATTACATTTTTTTTTCTCTGTAAATATTATCTACAATGTAAAAGCTCTACTTATTTATTGTAAATTTGTCGGTGGATATATTGTATTTGCTGAACTGAATAAAAATTAAGTATGAAAGTTTTGACTTTCGACAAACTTGGATACTGGTAAAAAAATTCTAGGAATGAACAAAAAAAGCCGCATATTGAACACTTGAAACTAAATTACGAGAATTCACCAGCTAAACCACAAGAGTTAAAATAAATTTTCTATTCTGATAACAATAATTTGGATGCGCAGAAAAAATCACTACCGAGTAATACTTTCAGATTAGTGGCGCCCAGTCGACAAATTCCATTATTTTATTGATTACATCCGAAGCAAACTTTATCATCCTTAAATCATTAAGAAGTCTACAAATTAGTCACAAAACATGAAATAATGACCGATTTTTGCGAGGATGCATGCCGGAGTTTTTGCCTTCGCCAGTACAAAAAAAGCAAGAACCAGATCTTATAATTGTCAGAACAAAGTTCTGCGGAAACAAGCTAGAAACCTATCATAATTACTCTATTCTGTCGTTAATGCAAAACCTTAAGACTCACAGCAACCACCCAGACCAATACAGTCTCCATTAGCAAGACTTTTATGCTCTCATCGACCGTATTATTAGCTTGGTCTTTGTACTAGGGTGCCACAAATATCTTGTATAAGGTAATAGTGTGCAATTAGAAATACAGTTTAAATAAAGATGATAGCGAACAATAATGCCGGTTGGAACAAGGAGAACCTACGATGATAGCCAGTTTCTATAGTTTGTCACGCGTTTTAGGCCCCACAACACACACTGCTGTCGATACACCAACTATCAATGTGGGCTTTTATCTTCAAACTGGCGATATCATTAACCTGATCACTGCATTCATGGGCGAAAGGATGTCTTCTGTACTTCCATACTTTCGAATCGAAAAACTGTTTTCAATCTTCAGAGTTGAAGAGAATATAGCCAGTTAGAACATCAAAGAGTTACTGAGATGACCGTATTCGGATACTATTTACGGGTCCGCATTCTTTTATCAACCACCGATGCTACTACAGCAATCATTACCACAGGTTTTCATGGTTCAACCAACATTTTTCTCAGCCTAACCATCTTAATTAGGTATGAAAGAAACGTTTCGTTTGTTATACCATCGTGTACTCAAGAAAACAGGTTCAACTATTGCCTTTAACATCAATATTGTTCATTTAGAACGATGAAAATCTACGGTGACGACCAGTTTCCGCTCTTACTCGAACAATATAATGCTCAATGAATCCAGCAATACTAATACACCAGTCTCCATTATGGCTTTGTATAATCTTATCCGTTTGATTCTCTGCCTTACTTCGAAGTTCTGATCAGTATTCCCAAAATTAATCAGGACGAGGATTACTTCTTATCAGAAAATTAAGCGCTCGAGCTTCTAAGATGTATCGTGTAGGAGAGACACCGAAATACAAAAAAATGACCGGTGCACCGGTCCCACCGCCCCACCGTACCACCGGTGCACCGTCCACCGGTCTCACCGGTCCACCGGTTCACCGTTCACCGGTTTCACCGGTCCACCGATTCACCGTACCGACCGGTGAACCGGTGGACGGTGAACCGTCACCGGTGCACCCCTAATGACGTTTGATTCAGATATTCACCAGACAAGAGTCAAAAATAGCTCATTCGGTCTCCAAGAATTCTCTGTGGGCCCTCATTATACACATTAAAATTTATTTTTAGTTGAAAGCTCATGCTTAAGATTAGCGATACTCGTGACTTTTTTTTTAATTCTTATTTTTGAATGGATGAAAAATGGCGGCAAGTTCAATGAGGGTGTGGGTGTGGGATGAATTCAAAACACGATCCGCACCCATACCTACACCGACACCCTATGAGAATTTCGAGAAAAATTTTTCTTGTAATCGAAATATGATCAATCAGGAAGATCGAAGTAAGGATGCCGGTCACAAATAGATGCTGGAAATTTATTATTAGCTGTGATATAGTAGTAGAAGGACTACTTTTCTGTTGTAGCATTAGAAGCTTTGTTGGAAGAAAATGACCTCGAATGTCGATCCTATACCACTAAATCATGGATAATTATGGACTTACAGCATATGGTTGCAATCAACATTCTTACTCCTATCTTCCTGATTGATCATAGTTCGATTACAAGAAAAAATGTTTTTTTCGAAATTTCCGTACACCCCCCCCCCCCCCCCCCAGGGATCTAGGAGGGTGGAAAATCTTTTTCTTTTTTCGAACAAATGGTCTATGCTATTCGATCCAGGGGGAGAATTGTAATTCGTGGGAAGTGAAAATTTTCATAAGTGAACGCCCTTGGAAAGCGCTCAAGGTCGTTTTTCTCAATGCTGTTCACCTAGCTTTTGACAGTATATGTCACTTGTTGCATCCATTCTACCCCTTTTTCTTCCTAATCTTTTTGCCATTTTGTAGAGAATTGAAAGTTACACAACATATAACAAATTCAGTCTGTGGTCTGATGTTTTCGATAAATGGCAGCAGATATACCTCCAAAAATCTAACGTCATAGCCTGGTAATCTGTTACCTTTTTTCATTCATATTAGCCCAGTAAATGAATCATATATAATATTTCATATAGCTCATTTTTTTCATCTATCTATATCCTATCATTTGGTATATAATATGAAAAAATTCTCTCATTTTTAGTAGTGTAATACTATTAGACATTAATGAGATGATTTATCATTGTTTTTCTTGATACTAGGTAGGCGGTGTTAAAAGTCGATCCAGACTAACTTCACTATAAAAAGTTCAAATGAGTTAAAAATTTAGGGTTATTAGTTTCAGACATTGCCGTTTCCAATGAACATAAAACATCAAAAATTTAAATTTTCACGAGTACTTCGGTTCCTTGGTGCTGTTATGGACCCTCTCTTAACATCGCCAACTATTGTAATCTTAATGCAACACATCAAATGAGAATGAAAATATTTAGAGAAATACTTCTCATGCTGTAGAAACCATGACAAAGACTTCTTGAGACTTACCAGAAAGTCGTTGTCTTAGTTGTAAGTAGATCAAATGTTTCTTCGTCTCGTGATCGAATTCAATGCGTTCAACACGGAAACAAACACCTGGTGTAACAAGTTCCTCTTCTTCATCAGGATATTCAGATAATCCTTGAAGATCAGCGGTAAAAGCAAACAATACTTCCATAATGAATAAAGCATTTCCGAATTGTTCTGCTTTTTGACGATTGCGGCTACACGATGTAAACGCTTGAAATGATCGATATTCGTCCGAATGCTTGACCATTTCTTTATAAGTAGTGATCTGGTCGTCGGTCAGTTGGGCTCCACGATAAAGCATAATTTTAGTTTTCATTTTTTTATTGTAAGGATCATCCCAAAGCAATAAACAAAAAGGTCCTAATGTACGGATTTTACTTCGCCAGACTTTTTCATCCTCTTTGCTGCCTACTAATCTCATGGCTGCGTTCAAGGTTTTGTACAGAAAACTTTCCAAAGAGTAAAGGTAAGCGCAGCATTTCCATACTTCTACCACCCCCTTATTCTTTTGTTCTCTAAGCATATTAGCCAATTCCTCGGCTTCATATCGTTTTTCAATAAGCTTGCCTTCTGCAATAATACCACGAGCAGCCTTCTCGACAAGCTTTGGGATTATATCTGGCCTTTTAGAAGGCAATTCATCTGGTTTAAGGCCCAAATCTCTTCTGACTTCAATTACAAATGGCGACACCCAACCATATTCACCGCCGAATGAACCTTTCGAAGCAGCAGGAAGATCCATAAAACGTTCTTCTCGTAGATGCTTGTCTTCTCGTTGGCGCACCACTCGTTTTACAGGTCGTTGCTTGTTATTATCAACGTAGGAAATTTGCAGATTATCCTTGAAATCGATGTGATAATTATCCAAAATTGCTCTTGGTTTATTGTTTGCGAATGCTCTTTCAATGATTAAATTTTCTATATCTGAATAATGACTCCATTTGGCTGGTTCATATGTTGACCATGGATCTAGATTTGACTGCCACATCCATTCAATATGTTTTAAAGAGTTGTTTGACGCTTCAGGCGCTGCACAGACCATAATAATAAATTATTTTCTCTATTTTCAATGTTGCAAATACGTTACCTATCACTTGTTTTATTATCTAAAAGTGTAGAAGAAAATGACAGTGAAATCAATGAAGAAACAACAGAGACTTTAAGATTGAAATTTAACAAAGTCTAGAAGTCTCCTGCAGTCTTCTGAAACCTTGAGGAGTCTTTTTAAGCTTCCTAAAAATCAGAAGAATCTTCACATCTTTTGAAGTCTTGAGCTTTTTTGTTTCTTTCTTGAATAAAACATGTTTAACCTAATGTTGTCTTTATGAGTCATTTAACAAACTTGCACTTCATTAGATGTTGAAATGCAAACATGCAATAATCATTGGCTCAAAAAGTTTAGAAAATTGTATAAAATCTGAGTAGTATCTATCAAAATCTGTCTTATGTTTATTCGTTTGTTTTTCTCCAGTTTAAGAATTTTCTTAAATTGGCCTGTCGATCTTCTCAGAAAAAATAAAATGAAACCACTCGATATATTTTTATTAGAACACAAAAGAAACGAGAAAGTTCCAATCAACTGTCTAGGGAATATTTATACCAGTTGCTTTTTTGTTTAGCTAAAGGCTTCTTCGTTTTTGTTTACATCTAATTTTGATAAAATAAATCCATAGAAAAACAAACCTTTGCCTTATCTTCCAATGTTACCAACGAAATATAAACTATTCAATCTAATATTTCGTTCACTTTTCTATTATAATATCAAGTAAAGTGATGAGTATTATCTGACAATTGATTTTTCGAAAATTATTAAAAAACAATAATATTCAATACTTTTCAATTAATCATTCACTTCTTTTTTTCTATTCAACACGTATATGATAAGGTGTATCTTCAAGTAATCGTTGCACTTCTCTGCGGTAATTCAATTAGAAAAAAGTCTGGATGCTGTATTTGATATCATTCAAGACTTCGATATCATCTAACAAATGTCTCCAATCTGATGATAAACAAAAACAATCATGCTAATAGATCTGTGTGCTTCGAGGCTTGAATATATAGAGAACAGTATCTGTGTCGTTTCATTTCTCAGTTTTGTTTAGCTTTTTTGTTCCACATTTGAAAACCTTCTCAAAATGAAGATGGAACTAATTTTCGACAAAAATGTATGATTATTTCTAGAAATATTCTATCTATTGATCGAATAAAGTAAGCATTCAAAGTAAAAGCTTTTCTCTCATGATGAGGCTATCTTTTATTATGAGCAACTCTGTTTTAGTGAATTATACAGCAAATCATGTTTCTTATTATTAGTAATATGTGAGAAGTTCTTCGGTTTAATTCTAGTTGATCAATATTCACGAATATCATTTCATGAAAGAACAATTATATGAATAGAAAGAGAAAGAGGAACTATTGAACAAACAAACAATGAAGATATTTTATCTCAAGCAGTTGTGAAGAAGACATACGAAATCAATTTATTATATGAAAACGTTTTAAACAACGTTCCGATATCATTAAATGGCTAATTGTACTCTGATTATATATGACAGTAATTTACAGTAATAGACACTTCAGCACATTGAAAGTTCCTCTAGGTTAAATAAGTCTTTAGAGAACATAATTATTTGCAAGTGTCTAGAAATATTTCATTAGAACTCCGTCATTCTAAGTTCACAGTGTCTATGATTTTTTTTTGACAGTATTAAATTATAACAAAAACGAATCTTTGTTCAATAACGAATTCCATGAAAAAACAAGACGAAGCAACTTGACTGAAAATGAAACCAGTCTTTGATCTCTAATTGTCACATTTTAATTAATCAAAGAATGAGTTGTTGTTCCAAACAAGTTTTACTAAGCTCTATTAGATCTGACTTCAGAGTGAAGTAGCTCTATTGACTTTTTCTATTGAATTTAACTAGTAGCAGAGGTTATAATCACGGCTATGATCATCAAAAAATGATCCATTATTACAGAAATTGATGTAACTGACATCAAAATTTCAAATTCACCATATTCTCTAATAGAATAAAAGACTGGCTAAATATTTAGCCGCTTAATTATTGGTATCTACCGAACATATCTCATTTTTGTCTAGAAATATCTTTGTTAAAGATTTCTCTTAACTTGAATCTGCAATGTACACACTCCCTACCAATGTAGCTGATACTCGTTATGCAGTATGATCAGATGAGTCTTTTATTCACGACTAATCCGTTCAAGATTACAGAAACGAAAGCCTAGAAAAAACATAGACTCTCAATATACGAGTTTATTGTGTTAAGAAAAAAATTTTAGACAATAATCGAGACTTTCAACGATCTCAATGGTCGTTTCTAAGTGATTTCGACTGAAAATGGTTAAAAGTGCAATATCTACGAGACTGAAATGCTAAACACGATGTAACTGTTATGTGCTAATCACAGGTAGAGATGAGAGCAGACTGGACTTTTTATGAGTTTTTAAAAACTCTCTTAACTTTGGAAAATTTCAAAATAAAAAGAAGAAAACGCTGGTAAAGCACCTATTGACAAGCAGCCAGACAGTAATCTCTTTAAAAACTGATTTGGAACGTTGGAAATTGTCAAAAATCAAATATTTATTTTTGTGCTCTGGTGACAGAGAGTCAATCCGTCGGCTTATCTGTGTGATTCAAACCGGAAAAAAACCAGTGCTAGTTTCTTATTGTAATGATATGACCAAGGTTCGATCTACTTATCTGTAATCTTGCGATGCTAGACATGAATGTAATTTGACATAGGCCAGATATCGATTAAGTAATTTTTTAAATAAAAAAATCTTCATATTTGGTATATTCAGGGTGTGGGTGTAGGTGTTGGTTAGTGCCGTATTCGAATGAGGACTAGAAGGAGCTCAGTCCTCCCTACGGAGACTTGAACTCCTGCCTACCAAGATTTTGGGTGGGGGTGGCTGGATATGAGTGTGCATGTCTTGAAGATAGTATTCATGCCCACACTCACACTCACATCCATTCTCGTCACTCTTTGGAGATATGGTCAGGTTGCTGAGCCTCCCTTCCCCCTACAACTTTTTTCTGGCTATGCCGCTAGTGTGGATGTGGGTGTAGTCCTTCATTTCATTCAGACTACGTCCCACACTCAATCAGCCAGACCCTACTCTTAGTTCACACAATGTGAACTCAGGTTTTGGGTTATCAGAATTACTTTCAAGCTTGTATGAAACCGTTCACACTATTCTACCTCCAACCCAAAAGACGATGACGAATTGGAGGCAAGCTTACTTCGTAGCGTCAGTTAATATCTACTAAATATATTGAATAGTATACAAATTGACGTATGTAGCAGCTTGAATGTGAATATGAAATAAAATGATTGCATAGGCTTTCTCTTACCTTCAAGCGTCCCTTAATATGAAAAAAAAAGAAAGAAAGAAACTTCTAAAATATTTTTTTCTCCCGTTCTCTTTTCCGACAAAGATCAATGGACTGTAACCATAGCGTGCTTACATTACACCAGATTCTTAACACACCTGAGGGTTAAAAATAAATAGTTAAAGTAACGGCTCTCTCATCCTACAGTCATATTTTTCTCGACATAGTGAGAGACCCATACATATATTTTTTTTCTTAGGACTTTTTATTTCTTGTTAAGGTATCTTGCAGTGTTCACCTATTGAGAATAATGATGAAGAATGGTGACTCATTCATACATAGTCAAAGCTATTAGTCTCCCTTGCTCACCTATATGCATCAAACAACAAATAACCGTAGAAAAAGCATATCACTCTATCAATGTATGAAGAATACAAGAGAAAAAAAAAATTTTTCTTCGTCATGTATGATATTTTGTGTATGGATGTGTCTGTGCTCAAAATCGCTCTGTGTTCGACTTTTTCTTTAGTTTTTTTCTGTTTGTTTTGGTGGATGGCTCAGCGACTCAATTTAAATCTTCGAGATATGAATGAACAGGCGACAAACAGTATTGAATAATGATACAGTATGAGATGAATGTGTCGTATCATTTTTCTGTTTGAACAAAACAAGTAACAGAAAAATAACTTCAACGTACAGCAAGTCAATGTCTCCAACATCGGAGGCTCGTATATAGACAATGGTTGCAATAGATTATGTATACAACTTTTTATTTCCCAAATTCAACTAAGTTATCCTTTTTATGTATAATCCTCAAAAAAATGATGGTAGTTTTACTTTTATATAGAGTCGATAAATCTATTAATATTTTCTTCATTTTATTCTAAATTATAATCAAAATTAAGTTAAACTTGATTATTTTACTTTGAAACCAGAAAAAGTAAATATTATATGACAGAATTACTGTAGTTTGATTTTACATTAAAGTATATAAAATTTTAGTTGATTATTGTATTTTGAATTAAATGAATAAAACATAAACAAATAGAGATAGTTATGGAAAATTCAATTCAAATGAATAACATATACCTTAGTAGGTTCCTATTTCTTATTTTAAAATAATTAAAATGTTGAAAGCAAAATAGACTTGATTGGTTTTTTTTAAAGTACAACAAAAATTCATCTGATGTGCTTATTTGGTTTTTATTTCAACTACAATAAAGTTAATTCATCAAAATTATGTATTAAAGAAAGACAGTTTCAATCGTATATGCGTTCAATAGTTTTATGTAACGTGCTCATTATGTCTCAAATTAAAGTGAAAAAAAGAATTATTTTAACCATGAGATATCTCTAGATATTTTACGTGCAAATTGAAAAAAGGTAATTAGTACAAGATAGCTATAATTTAAAATTATTTTTTAAAGTAAACTATTTTATTAATACGTTTGGTTTTCTATCAAACTCTTTCTTTTATCTGATTTTGATGTGATCATCAACAAGAACTGATTTTATTAGGTAGAATTATTTCTCGTAGAGTATTTATTTAATATGAAAGCAATAAATTTTTAATATCCATTGCTTTTTAACAAATTCGGTTACGCACAAAAAAAAAGATAATTACAGAAAAGAAATGAAAAGTATTTTTCGCTATATCAAAGGATCAGAAGGCACCCTATTGAATGACATGAAATCCAGCAATACCAATATCATAATTACTAAAGTGCATGACTGCACACAAAGGTAACAGTCCTCATGGTAAACGTAGCGTTTGACACACACGCTGCATGTTTTGGTGGTGCCTCTACCAAAGTCGTACCTATCGATGCAGGTATTACTGACAACGAGTCTATAGCTTACTGAACACACTGTATAAAATATATCTAGAGCTGTGTTCAACATGACCGCCTGATCATGTACGGCAATTACTCATCTTTATTATAACTCTGTTTATTAGAGAAAATTTAGAACCGTGTGAATTTTTATATCAAAACTAGACGGAAAATAATGTAAAATACTCAATAAATAGTTTAGTTGAGAATGATTTGCAGCCAATAGCATCAAAGATCTCGCATTCGCGCTGATCTTGAGGGTACGGATGTGAATGATTAAAGTGATCAAAGCCATTACATTCATACCAGCCCACATACACACCATTTTTCCATGAATATTACAAGGCTTGAAGGACAAAATGAAAAATATAATCTTTCTGGTTCCGATAATCGACAAAAATATTTTCATTCATTCTCGCATTTTCAATACTAAAAAGACAATGTCCTATCAAGTTTATTTGAGACTAACACAGTTGTGATTTAACCAACGGAATCCATCATCATCGCAATCTCATATGCATGAGTCAGCTACATGTTTGCAATATCTCGTCCATTTTCTGCACATATGTAGAAATTATGATGACTGTACCAACACACAATACAATCATTCCAGAAATACTTATTATCAGGATCAACACGTTTTGAACTTAATTCCTTTTCAATTGTCCGCCGTTGATTGTCTTGTACTTCTCACTTTGTATAAATATATACACACACTGATGTTCGACTTCAAATATGACATTATTGACGCCATACTGCTGAATCTTTTATACACAGAACAATGACTTGAAGAGGAAGAATCCATATATAGTACCTATGAGGTTAGTCAGTACAATTCAAATATAAGCGAATACTCGAACTTCCAGGAAAGATAAAAAAATATTTATACTTTCATTCGCAACAGACAATATGAATGTTTTTTCTTGGCTAAACAGTGGCTCAAAACAGAATTACAACATCTGCATTTTTCGTGAATGCAGATCTTTCCATAGAAAATGCTAATCAATAACTTCAGTTCTTGATTGAGCTTATACATCGGTTTTTTCAGACAAGCCTACTGACAAAGTTCATGATAAATTCATCATGATGTGAGGAAAGATACTAAAAACAATTGAACTTGGTAATTTTCTAGTGTGAATACTTGTTTACAAAATATAATATCGAGCTAGTAATGCTATAAGTGTTTCTCAGTAACGAAATTTTACTTAAGATGCCTTTTCGTCGAAAAATTAGTTTTTCAACAATGAGAATGATCGGAAAACAAAAGTTTAGATATTTTATCGAAAGACAAAAAGGAATCCAAATAGTACATTTTGTAGTGTAGGCCTTGCTTTACCAGCTGAGATAAAAAAAAACAAAATTTATAACCTTTATTTTCGGATTCAAGTGGCGAAAATACGACAGTGTTCAAAAATTGGATGCAGCTGACTCGAGTCAGGGTGTGGGTGTAGATGAGAAGAAGACCGACTACGTACTCACACATCTCACACTCGAACCGTGGATTTGATTTCTGAATTCAGAAATAGCTATTGCGGGAAGACCTATAACATTTTGATTGAGAATTTACACTCATTATTGTCTTTGAAAATACATGCCAGTTCCACAAATAGAATCTTTATTAACTATCTTAAGTTGATATCATTTATATGTAGATACAATTCAAAAAAATTACAGATATTCATTAAGAGAAAAAGAAAATTGCATTGAAATTATTGCATAAGAAGAAAAAAAATTGATTCATATCTTCCCTGTTTTACGCCATGATACACTTTTTGGTAAATCTCTTATATAAATTTGGACACGCATTAGAGCTCGAGATGATTTTCTATCAAAACTAATATTTGCAGCAAATTCTCGACACATAACATTGATTAATATATTTGGTTTAACTTGATTAAATTGAACCCATACATATGGTGCTTGATATACATCTTGACGTTCTTTTTTACCCCTAAATAACATTTTCTTTTATAAAATATCACCTTGCTATGGTTGAATATAACTCATCGAGTTACTGCTAAACATTTTGTTTTTTTCTTTAAGCCCCCCCCCCCCCCCCCCCCCCCTCAAAAATCGATCTCAGCCCAGGAACATCCAAATGTCATGAAACTTTGAGGATATGTCAGGGCTGTAAAAGGACGTCTGTGGTAAAATTTTCAGCCTTCTATCCTAATGTACAAGTGAGATACGAACCAAACAAGGGTCGAAAAATAGCTTATCGCGTCTCCAAAAATTCTCTGTGGGTATTCATTCGATATGCTTGATTGTTTTTTTGTTTGAAAGAGCATGTCCGAATGCAGTGCCTATGAGGCCCTTTTTATTTTACTCTTATCTTTCTCGAGGCAAAAAGGCCTGACAAGTTCAATCACTGAAAAACCTCTCAAAAAAATGGCGCTCATATTATAAAGTTGCTTATCAATATAATAATAACAAAGCTTTGTCAAAAAAAAGGGCTCTCATAGGCACTACAGTTTTTGATGCTCTTTCAAACAAAAAAAAAATATTCGACTTTATACCGGGTTATAGTTGACTTTCGCTGGAGAGGGTGTGGGTGTGGGTGTAGGTTTGGGTGGTGTGGGTGTGGGTGTGGGTAGGTGTGGGGTGTGGGGTGTGGGGTGTGGGGTGTGGGTGTGGGTGTGGGTGTGTGGAGTGTATAGTTGTGGATGAACGTGTTGGTGTTTGTTTTATTTTTACCGACAACCATACCCACACCCTCATCCACACCTACACCCACACACCCACACACCCACACTCACACCCACACTCACACCCACACACAGCTCTATCTTCTACCTGTAATTTGAAAACTTTTAATCAGAATTGAAAACGTAAGAACAAATAAATGATGACTTTCTAATTAATATTTTAAATCTCAAAATTGAATCCATCTCACACTGATTGTTTCATTCGTTTAAAAAAAGCCAATGCTCAGACATTACTAATTATTTGATCTACAAAATTTTAAGAAAAACCTTATTTTATGCAAATATCGGAAAAAAATATAAAAATTGTTGTCAGCTTTGCATGCGAGTAATAAATTCTAATACTTAAATTCAAATAATACAAGCAGATAGAAGCTTTTTGCAAATACATCAAATAAGCTGAAACTGTTCTGATGCTTGTAATACATTTCTAATAAGACAACTTTATTCGAAAAAATGTACTTGACGTTTTCGCCATAATGAAGCTGATCACAGTTTCTCAGGTCATTTTCCACACTCGGATTCTGGAAAAAGTCTGTCATAACTGTCTTTTTGGGTAGAGAATTGAACAGGAAATGTTTTAGTAGAAAATTCAGTCCGATTGAGTTTAAGGGAAGAGAAGAAATATTAAAATAAAAACGATCTAATCTATTCTTGTCCAGTCGATACATGAGTATACTGCCGTAGGTATTTATCAAGTAATTGTTACTCATTCATATAAAAAGGCGCATTTTTTTCTCATCCTGAACGACACATTTCAATCAGACAAAATCGATAACAAAACATCATTCAATGTGTCAAATGCTTGCTTTTTATTTTTTTAAAGTAAACATTTTTCTCCGAGAAAAAACCGAATAGGAAGAGGATGCCTAAGAGCTTACCTTTTTATAATTCAAAAAGGTTTTTTCCAAAAAAGAAAAAAATTTTGAAAGTGGCCTGTGTGCATTTTGGCCATGTGTATAATTGAAGATTTCGCTCGAAACTACTGTGCTGGATAAAGTCTGACGTGATGATAATAAATACCTACATTTTCAATTTTCCTATTGCCTTTTAAGAGCAAAAGTTTGGCGAGTAATCCAATTGTGTTAAGACAAGCACGCATCGCACATGTAAGACAAACTCAATATTTGTGCACCTTTATTGTTGAAACTTTTCAAACTATTTTTTTTCTTATTTTTGGCGTAAAAGTAAACATAGTGTGACAATTGTTTTGCATATATCTCTGTTCAGCAGCATGTAGGGGTGCAACAAATCCTATTTTTTTACATAAAGATTGTAAATTTTCGGTATGAAGACTAACCGAATTCAACCAAATCTTTGTATTGATTATAACCAGTTTTATTTACTCTACTCAATAATGATGTGAAATGACCAAATCTAGCCAACACACTTCCGAGAGTTTGTGCGATTTGATGAAAATATGACAGTTTTTACCAAATCCTTCCAAATCTTAGATATTTCTTGGTTAGATTTGGTCATTTTACACCATTATCGAGTAGAGTAAATAAAACTGGTTACAATCGAGACAAAGATTTCGTTGGATTTGGTGAGTCTTCATACCGAAAATTTACAATCTTTATGTAGAAAAATAAAATTTGATGCACTCCTAGCAGCATGACAAATCGTTGAAATGTTTTTCAAAATATTCGGTATCAAATTCTCTATAAACCTGTACTTCTCTTAATTTAGAATAATAGAAATGCAGTAGTGTTCAGACTTTCAAAAAAAGAAATCTCCAATATTTTTAAAAACTTTTGATTTACATTGCTATGTAGTTACCAAGCTGATGAAAATTTCTGTAATTTTCTTTTTCAGAAATCTGAACATACTTCTTCGATAAAAAATGCAGTTCAAGTAAGTGTCAGAATAGGAATTAGTTTCTTTTAGCTTAGTTCCTTTTACTCTCTTCAAGGTTGTAGTATTTTCCGAGTGATAAGAAAAGAACCAATCGTTTTACTGCTGACAACAACAGCCATAGATATACATCATTTTTGCTACGCTTCAACGAAATCAAATAAATACTCTGTTTATGCAGACATAAAAAGACGAAAGAACAACTGAAACTTTTATCACATTGTCACAATATCAAATATATTGCTTATGCATTCAGTCGATGTTTTCTTATTTTATTCTATCGAACAGAACATTCATAATCATTTTTGAATAATCCATTGAAAAAGACATAATAAAATTCAGCTTTAGAAAAAAACGCTGTTTTACATTGTAGTAAAATTCATACAGCTAAGAGTTTCCTTTCTTTGGTTCATTCAAAACCTTCTTCATTGATAATTACGGATTTACTTTGTTGTTCTCATCGTCTTTTAAATAGCATTTCACAGTTCTATGAACAGTCTTAATATGTAACGAAACGTCACTTGAATCGGTTTTGATCACAGCATAGATATTTGGTATTTTGAATATCTAATTATTTTATATTTTGCGATATAAAACATTGCTTGTGCATAAAAAAAACTAAAAACGGATTCTACATTTCATCCTTTCTTTATTTATATGATATTAGCGTTTTTCTAATACTAATGCTTAGTCACCATCTCCGAATTTCCCAACAGTAATGAAATGAGAAAATAGTTTCCTTTTTCTACTACGTATCTTTATTCGTAGGATTATAAGCCAGCTGGTCGATCGGTAGTGGTGCTGAAAAATATTTAACTTTATTAAATCTTCGGCAGTGGTGATTGAAACTTTCAAAAACTTTTCTTACTAACGGGGGCTGCTCAGTCACCCATCTTACAGCTTTAGTTACGCAAAATATTTTCCAACACTCTGAGAAAAATCAAAAACATTTCATTACTGCAATTTCCTTGTTTTATTTGGTTCTCATGGCACTTCTACCAATGGGATTTAGTCGTGAAATTATCTTCTTTTGTTTGCTGTTTTAAATTATTTATCCTCATAGTCGAGCATCATCGTGCAGGCAATCCGAATGCGTTGGTCCGATTTGATTTTTGTCCCTCGTCATTTATTTGTGCTCGCAATGATCGTTAATTTCATCGGAAAAAATGATTTTAGTTTACTTTGCTGTTCTCCATGCCATCACATCAATACTTCAACTGTTTCTTTTTTAACAGAGAGACGGAGAAAGCTAGTTTAGTTTGTTTACTTTTTAATGTGCTTGTTCAAATAGTTGCGGAAGATTTTACAGAGGCAGAAGAATAACAAATGCTTCTCTTTTCTTTTTCAGTTAGTTATTCTGAGAATTGCTCGTTATTTTTCCGTGAAAAATTTAACAGAAAAACGGAGAAAGATAGTCTAGTTTACTTCTTTTTTAATTTTCTTATTCCTATACTTTCCAGAGATTTTACAGAAGCAACAGGACGACAAAAGCTGCTCTCTTTTTCTTTTTTTCAGTTGATTATTCTAAGTATTGCTTGTCATTTTTCTGAGAAAAAATTAAAAGGTGAGTTGTGTTTAATTTTTATGTTTCATAATTGAGTTATTCTGACAATATACGCCCACTTTATAAAAAGGATAATCGAATAACTTAGTTTCGTGCTCTTTTTTTTCTAATAATTAGGCCCCTGCTTTGCCCACTTGAGCTCAGAAAAATGTGAAGATGAAGTTTAATTTCTTTTTCTTTATTTCGTTATCCTACAAAGTCTTGCGCATTCCATAATAGAAATTTAATTAGAAAATCAGCCTTGCTTTGCTTTTCTTCATTTTATTATTTTGAGAGTTGTCAAATATCATATTGGAATGAACCGAATAAGTTAGTTTTGTTTTGCTCTAGTAATTTTAACGATGATTTCTTGGGTCTTAAGACAGGTCAGAGATGAGCACAAGACAACTTCTTCTGTCCTGTCCTGTCAGCTACCTTTGTGCTGGTGGGCGGCAGGACAAGGCCAAATTTGAAATTGCGTCCTATCCTGTTTTGTCTTACTGACTCTTCTGTCCTGGCGGGCGACAAGACAAGATATCAAATTTTTTCTGCTGTTTTGTCCTGCCGATTTATTTCGCTTTCCCAGATGACTGAAAAGTAAATATGGAAGTTTGTATTTCACTTTGAAAGCCCGAAGTACGTAAAATGGTATTAGTTATTGTATAGCTAATTTTTTCATGTAATATTTAAAGGCAATATATACGGTGTAAATAACCACTTATATTATAGATACAACAAACTATACGATAATTCTAACTTGTTACTTTGATCCTCAAAATCCAAAGGAGTTTATATTTACAACGAAAAGTAGATTATGAACCTCCAGTATGCTCATACTAAAGCAGAAAAGCATTATCTCGTTG